CCCCAAAACCCCAAAACCCCAAAACCCCCCTTAATTAATGTTTTAATTATGATCTATAAAAAGATAAGAGTTAATAAATTAAAATTAATTGTGAATATATAAAACGAAGGATGATTAGAGTAGTATACTTATGTGTGCATTTTTGAAGAACTAGAAATTTCTAGCTTAATTGGAACTACTGATTCATTGAATCCTTGGTAAAGCTACTTGACTAGCTTAAGCTGCAACTGCTTATTTGTAATGCTTGTAGTTTGGGCATTTTTTAATTCTCATAGCTATATTTTTAGTTTCTTTGTCTATTGCATTACTTATACTATTCATCTAACCTTAAATATTGCTTGTAGGTTCATCTATTAGATCATTTACTATTTAAACAGCCACATCTGGAGTGTAGTGCAAGAATACTTGTATATCACTGTCCTTAATCAGCTTCTGAGTTTTTCTCATTATCTCTAAGCACTCATCCATTTATTGATAGATCTCTTCGGCTGACTTAATTAATTCTTTTGAAAAGGAAAGATAGAAGTGCAAAGAGTAAGGCTGTTTCGTTAGCTATTCATTTACCTTCATGAAAAAGTGATCAATTTACATTTTCCTATTTAATAGAATTTCTTCTGCTTCATCATTTTCATTTGCTTATTCCTGCATCAATTAGGTGTTTATCTCTTCCAGGAATTCTCGCTTTAGTTGTAAAATATGCTGCATAAACGTGAACTTATACTAATAAGACATAGCTGCAAAGATAGTCTGAAGAGTTTAAGTCTCAAAAATGATTGGCAAATACTCTGAAAAATCTTTCTTAGCTATCAACTTAAAAATGTTGTCAAAAGCATCTTCATCCCAAAGGAATCCTAGATCGTTCCAAAAATATTAAAACATCTTTTGGTGATTCTTTTGAATACTAACGTATAAGGGGAAAACTTTATTGATCTACGGTGAACTTGTGGCCCCTGGAATTTTAAGAAGTTTTTTCATGTTACAAATAGAATGTTTAGCAAGATACTTAATCAATTCAAGATTTCCTTAGTAAATAGCGAAAGTCATTGGATTCCATTTAGCTGATCCCTCAGTTTCACCTTAAAGTTGGTCCTACAATTACTGACTCATCTATTACTAGAATTTATCTACATACGATTCAGTTTTAAATAAGGCTAGTTACTAATCTAAGCCCTTTACTTGCATCATTTAAATCTAGACTAGATAGTTATATTCCTTCAATTGCTCGAATAGAGTTTAAAATTCAAATATAGTAGAATCTGGTTTATTGGCTATTTCAAGGAGCATTGTATTTGATTACTTAATAAATTCTGAAGCATTCAATTCTTATGATACTCTGATGATATTATTGATGAATTTCCCTAAAATAGCTCCAACTTCACTAGATAATTTGTCTTTCAATTTATTAACCTTATTAATATCATAATATTCTGAGGGGTCACCAATTTATTTGGTTATTATGAAACTTATTATATCAAAATCATTAGCATTTTAGAATACTTTCTACACTAGTTAAAGATTCTCAGACAACTCTTCAAACAGTAAAAACGTCAAAAAGAAACCAGTATAAGGTTAGAGAGTGAATTCTTAATAGTAAGTCGCTATTATTTACTCTGGTTATTATTCTAAACTGTGAAGAAATTCATATAGCCACTCCTTACGCTTTTTTATAGACAGTGAACCATAAAAAGAATGAGCTGTCTTAGACCTAAGAATAACTTGTATCAAATTTGTCCACATTTTCTCCATATCTATGCTATTTCCTCCCTAATGATTGCTATTGTTAAACCAATCTTAGATGTCATTATTCAATCTATCAGATAAGAGATTGTTGATACATTTCGAAGGCCATATTTTATAACCTTCATCGAGTAAATACTTTAGAATTTACTGATCACGCCTGTCATAAGCTAAAAGTAAACTCATGATTTTATCTTCAGGATATCTATCAATGTTAAACGCATCTTTCTCTAAGTCAGCCTTTGACTTAGGGCCAGTTACACCCATATTAATCTTCAAGTCCTTAATGAAGTACTGGACTAGTTCAAAATTCTGATAGTAGATAGCGAAATGTAGTGGGTTCCACATTATGGTTTCAACTTAGCCATTTTCAAACTCGATATCTTCAATAGTCAAGTTAAGTCCTCGGATTCCCACAATTTCATTGAATTTCTACTCTTATATCAATTCAATAACTTTAGATGTTTCTCCTTTGACTATCATTTACAGAATCTCATGATAAGTTTTCAGTTATACTGGCAAATTTATGTGTGAAAAGTCCATATTTGAGTAAAAGGAACCCTTAGCACTTGATCTTGCTGAGGGAGGTCTATAGTTTCTACTGAAATCTGACTACATCATTAGTTTGCCGACATCTTGAGGAATATTCTTCATATCTACCATCACGATTTCGATATCTTCACAGTTGTTTACATTATTATCTTAATCATTCCTCGATTTACGACCACCTTGATTAGAATTAGCTGCGTTAAGCCTTTCAGCATTAGTTGTAAATTTAGGTCCAGTCTCTGCAATTTGCTTAGATTATCTACCTTAACCATCTCCCTACTACAAAGCTTTAATAGGTTTATGATTTGTTGGTCTGATTGGTTTGGGTTAGTTTTACCCAGAATTTATCTACTAGCAACATCCCATTATAACTTTCTCACTTTATCTTTAAATTTATGTTTTTTTAGAATAAATATTATTAACTAACATTTATTTTACCTTCAAATTATACCTAATTTATTATTCAGGGGTTTTGGGGTTTTGGGGTTTTGGGGTTTTGGGG